GCGGCTTCTTTGTTTAAAGTGGGTCACCACAGCGGGTGGCTCCACATTTGAGTTGGCAGGCTTTTTATATAGAATGCTACTTGATACTGAAAACTACTGTCAGGTTAGATATTTGCAGGTTTGGAGGTTTGACACCAACAGTGTTGTCTTCATCTTCACCTCTAGCTGGCACACAACCTCATTGCTGCTGATAGGTAGCCACACAGCCCCTCCCCTCACTAGTAGCTGAACATGTAAACAGCAACTCAGCAGAGTGAAGCATCTTAAGGACTGATGTCCAAGTCTTTATGAGGAATTCAGGAGGTCAGTAAAGCTCCTGTTTCAACAGCATTGAATAGGTAATAAGTGTTAAAATCAGCTGTTTAACTATTAGCAGTTACCCACATTCACTGTTAAGTTACCATTAACCTTCTAAGACCCGGACTCTTCCACAGCATGCATTTTTAATTTCTCTATGATATTTGGGCATATTGGGGCCCGATGAATGTAGAAACAAAGAATTACCAAATTTTTTTTTTTTACCTTATTTTTGTTTTTAAGAAAAATGAGAGCCACATATGAGGGTATTCATTTAAAATTTTGATAGAACAGTAGCAGTATAATGTCCTCGTAAGTGGATATCAGGCCCTTGTAGAGCAAAATTGAGTATTTCTGTCTAAATAACCCAAAATGTGATGTCCACATATGCGGATGCCAGGTCCTAGGAGGTTAAGGTAGTGGGTAGAGGTTAATAGCAAAATGGTAGCATTAATGTGGGAGTTAGGCAGCAAATGTGAGAGCAGCTAAACTGAACGTGATCTATTATGAATCGACGGACAGAAAAATAAGAAAGGCCACAAGCCAGACAGGATTTCTTTTGGGTCACAATCTGACATTAAAGTGAAGAAAATATGACAAAGGTTCAATAAAGACTCATTGTGAAGCAGAATGGGAATTCTTTTCTGACTTTTCTCAGTGAAGCCACATCAATTTGTGTCAGACCTCAGCGTACCTGAAAAACTAACCTGAAATGAAAAAAACAATTATAGTAGAATATGTAAGAAGAAGGTAGTATGTGCGCAGACTGGCAGGGATACCGTATGCCGTATGTGTTTGTGGCGGTTTCTGTGTATATCCGTGTGTCTGTGAAAACAAATTATAAATTAAAATGGATTGTCCAAGTTCACTGCACTGTAGAGTAGAGTCATGGCACAGTGGACTGGACAATGAAGCCTGCTGCCGTCTTACCCTCAAGCTCTTCCGTCACCCTCACTGTAGGCCTGCTGCTTTTACCGTATCCGTTAGTTCCCCATACGATCCTGCCAGTGTGAATGCCAGCTTCTCATCTCTCAATGATGATCGAGAAAATGCAAACAGTTCGAGGTGTAGGTAGGAGTAAGAGCAGTGAGTCAGCCCGCTCTGTAGCCACCAACGACAACACCGCTGGCACTGCCTTTACCCTGCTCTGAGTACGTATTTCCTTTTTTCTTTTTCGTCCCAGAATGCCTCTGATTGTGGATCATTCTGGATGACTCAGATTATTTTTAAATATAAATCATCTACAACACACGTGGGCTAAAATTTTATGTAAGACCCAGTAAAAAACATAATGAGTTATGAATTTGAGTCTGCAGTTAAAAAAAATAAAAAATAATATTAATAAAAATGAGTCAGTAGACCAAACTTTAATTTTTGGTGACTCTCTCTATGCCAGAATCTCTCTGGAATCATGGCCACTACAGCTGTACCCACATATAATATTAATTGGATCTTTTTTTCATTAGGTATAATGATGTGGAGCTTAATACCGTGCTAGCAGATCTCTCTTGTGGCACGAACAGCTCTTTCTTGGATTACTGTACTCAGTCAATGACAGATAAGAGTGTTCTTCTAACTTTTTCTCTGCACCATAATTTTTCTTTTAAATACAACCGACATCGGAGCACAGCTGTTATGCAACCTCTTCATTAGGTACACCTGTTCCACTGCTTGTAATAAGCAAATATCTAATCACCCAATCATATGACAGTAATTCAGTGCGCTTAGGCATATAGACATGGTCAAGAGCACCTGCTGGGGTTCAAATCAAGCATCGTCATGGAGGATTTAAATGACTTTGAACAGGATGGTTGTCAGTGTTGAATGGGTGGGTCTCAGTATATCAGAAATTGCTGATCTTCCTCAATCTTCCCACACTCTAGGGTTTACAGAGAATGGCCCAAAACGGAGATGTCAGACCTTGAAGCAGATGGGCTACAGTAGCAGAAGATCATGCTGCCTTGTTTCTGCAACATTTGAATGGTAGGGTCAGAGTTTGGAGTAAACAACATGAAAGCATCAATCCATCCCAGCTTGTATCAGTGGATCTGGTGGTGTTATGATACAGCACACTTTGGATTTTGGATTTGGTGAAAGAGGAGAACATCACTGACGTATAGCCAAAAAATCAGCAGCAACTTTGTCAAAATTCTTCCCTGAGAATTCGGAGTTTCCAGCACCTTGTTGAATCTACGCTAGGAAGATTTAACCTCCTAGGACCTGGTGTCCACATATGTGGACATCACATTTTGGGTTGTCTAAACCAAGATATTTCATTTTGCTCTACAAGGGCCTGATAACCACTTACGAGGACATTATACTGCCACTGTTCTATCGAAATTTAAATTGAATGTCCTCATCTGTGGATCTCATTTCTCACAGAAACAAAACTCAGGTAAAAAAAAAAAAATCAACTCAAGTAAAAAAAGAAAAAATCAGGTAATTCTTTGTTTCTACATTCATCAGGTCCCAATCAGCCCGAATAGCAAAGAGAAATTGAAAATGCATGCCATGAAAGAGTTCAGGTCTTCAGGCAATTTTCCTTTTGAAGGCAAAAGGGGGTCCAGCAGGATGATAACTCTGTTTGCCATCATTGTCCTTGGGAGGTTCAATAATTTTCTCTTTATTAATCAAAAGAACAAATGCCTTTCAAGTTTTTAGTCTTTTGGTGAAAGTGACAACTCTGAAATTCACCTAATACTGTTAATAGGTGTAACTGCGGTCCTGCTGACTGGCTCACAAATGGCACAGAAAGACAGAGGCCAGATGGACATGACAGAGTGGATTGTTTGTCAGGCTGAAGGCCACGCTTCAGGCTGACAAACAATGAATTAATAAATAGGGCTGCACTGTCTTCCTCGGGGGTCTTCAGCAGCACAGTCCTGTTGATGCGAGTGTGTCAGCTCCCAGGGGGAATGGATTTTTGGCTTCGTGGCCACAGGATGTTCTCACGTCATTAGGTCTGCAGTGTGTTCATGCATTACCAGTGGCTCCACACTCCAGGCCATGAGTAGTGAGAAAAGAAACTGTGATCTGGAGAATTGGTCAACTTGAATCGGGAATGGGCTGCTTTGAAAGCACTTCTTATGGGGTGATACTGAAAAATTACACTCGTTGCTATGGAGCCCTGCTTTCCAGTGATAATGGCATGAAGGGTTACCCACTAGGTTATCAGAGAGTAAGGGGCAGCTTCGCTGAATGTTATCTAACCAGTCTCATGTTGACAAAAGACCCAAAGAGGACTGGCTCCATCACTACAGCAAAGATTAGTGAAAGCAATGTTGTCATGTTTCATACCTGCTGTGTGAGCTGACCTGCAGGTGCCACTTATTATGTGCATGTTGCATCAATCAACTTCCATTACTTAATCGACACCATTTAACCACTGCTACCCCTGCAGGGGAGGATTTTCCAGTGAAATTAGAGGGTGCTGATGGGTCGGTGTTTTCACCATCCAATAACAGCTAATGTGTTGTCATTTCAAGGAAGGAAGCTGAAAAACCTTTGGGAATTTCAGTTTACTGAGCATTTCTCTGCTCTTTGATAATGAATCTACTCTAACAAGTCTCATGCTAGTTACTGTGTCTCTTTTTGGCGAAGACGTAAATTTGTTAGTGTCTGATTTTTACAGAGTGTCAGTAAATGGTTAATTTATCAGTCAGCAGTGCTCGTGTTGATAGTCCAAGTACGTGGTGCTCCTTTTGGAGAGGCTTGGAAGAGATTTGTTATTGTAAAAGGTGAAGATGAGCGTTCAGTGGCAGGAACATCGATTCATTATCGCTGCAGTCTATTGAAAGGCTGACAGAGGTAATGCGAAGCAGCCTGCATTTTTCCTCTACACTGTCAGCCAAACAATCAGAGTGGTCCACGGAGACACTGTTCAGTCTTTGAGTTTGTTTTTCACCAAATATGTTAGCCAATAACAATTAGGGTCAGGATGCTGGAGCCTTCTTTTAAACAAAAGAGCTAAAAAACTACGTCTAACATTTCTGTATTCTTTGGGTCTCCTGCTGTTATTTGGCTTCAGTAAACTGAAACAATTTTCATAAGTGGATACGAGCAAAATCTGTGAGGTTTTGGAGCCAGTAATTTAAAAAAATAAAAAATCCCATTAGCCACTTGAATTTTCAACATTTAAAATTCCAATATTGTCATTATTTCCATGAAACAGCTCCAGAATTAAATTACCAGATTTTACTCTTAACCTTTTAAATGCTTTTGACTATAGGTAAGTGAAATTAGTCACACAGAATAACTATAATGACACAAATGTTACATGGCGCTCCGATGGTCCAGAGACAAAGAACTGTACAGCCATCCTTTTGATAACATGCATACAGCTAGGTTTAGACATTCAAATTTAAATTCGGTGACTATTGATGGACTCCTCTGGTTCAGCTCTATGCTGGCACAAACGCTCATCAGTTTTAGTCATGAATGGAATAAAGTTCCACTGCTTATAGTTCAATTACATACAGGTGACGTATATTTAACCAGGCACGGTTAGGCAACACGCAAAACACGCAAATGAAGACTGTGACATCGCATTTGTACGGGGGTGATGAAATGAACATAATATTTAAAAAATTCTAAAGAACTGAGATTTAAAATAAATTTTTTTTAAAAGCTTATAGCTGTTTTTGACTTCTACGCGATGGGGCATACATGATTTCACACTAAAAT